TACACTGAACAACGATCAAAAGAGAGTTCGAACATACATGTCATGTAAGAACTCATAAGTTGCAATATGCAAAGTAGTCCTTTGACCTGAGGCATCATAGATGTCTAATGGTTAGGTCCTTGATCTTTGATCATATCAAAGGCATTTCATCAAAAGTGTCCACGACATTGTTGGGGTCAAGCTATCTAGTCATGTAGGCATATGAATACACAACAAGGGATCTCTAACCTTCCATGGTGGAGGGAGAATACTCTGACATATGATTCGGGAGTCTTTGGCCAAAGCATATGAATATAACTTAGGAAGTTTGTTCCAAATCATATTCAATAGAATCATATAGAGAAGTATGACATTAGATAGTAGACATGAAACAAACTATCACTCAAATAATGTTATTAAAAGTATTGTACTAGAGAAGGACCGTATTGCATTGTAATTGTAACTGTATAGGTTCTCCAACCATTTCTACTAAGCCAAAGGTTTAGTAGTCATGACATACTACTAGGTGTCACTCATGGTTTGTGGAAGCTCTGAAGATTAGCAAACACTAATCTTCATCAAAGGGAGAATTAAAATGTATTTTCAATTCACAATCGATTGTTAAAAGTAATAATCACCCACTTCCTCACTAATTGGAACCTAATTAATTAATTTGTTAATTAATTACACGAAAGGTTTGTATTGGGCTTTCAATTTAGTTTTGGGTCTCGGGGGCCCAAAAGTGTTTTTGGTCCACAAGGCCCATTATGTTTAAGTTGTATGACAACTAAAACAAAATGGGCAATTAGCCCAATAACAAAGTCAAGGCCGGGCATAAGGGTGAGTGGAAGCAAACTTGGATTAATTACAAGTTTGCCACTCACATGTGAGGTAGTATAAAGTCATCGTTATAGCTTTTTCTCACTAGGGTTTTCTTGGGTCAAAGAAGAGAAACTTTTTCTCTCCTTTTTCTTTATAGAGGTCGGCCACTTAGGGAAGATTTTTCACCAGCATCAAAATCTCTCTAAGTCATCCATCTTCTCTTCACACTACATCTTTGGTGTGGAGACTTAGAGGTACCAAACCTTTGGTACTTTTTGGAGTTCCTTTCCTCACATCCTCAATGACCAAAGGAGATTAAAAAGGAAGAAAAATCACAAGGAAGATTCAAGGAGCTAGGAGGTGACTTGAAGGCCCTTCACTTAGGTGAATCCCTAGTGTAAACAAAGATGAACTTCAAGGGTAATGAATCTAAAAACTTTTCTTCTCTTTAATGTTGTTAAAGAGTCTATTGGTTCACCATTCACTAGGCTTTGAAAATCATGGGTTTTAGAATTATTTTTGAATGCATGCCTACATTAAGGTGTTAATAGTTTGCTTATGTGTTCAAATGTTCTCACATGTTCTTAGCTAGGACAAAATTTTTCCTTCACAAGTATCATCGTATCGTGAGTCATCATGTTGGCAAGTGCTTCATCCTCAAGGTGCTCATCATGAAGCTAGCATAACAAGGGCAAATTGAACTTGACCTGAAAGACATGGCCGCAACACACACTACCACAATAGTGTTTGGATTCTTCGATCCCGTGCCTCTCTAAGTGACATATGACCACTCCCGACCATGCTCAAGCCGCACGACACTTCCGTACAACCATCACTTGGGGCAAGCGACCAAAATGCACCTACCAATGATGAAGAATGATAGACATTGGTGACCTACAAAAGGACAAGGAAACCAATACCACAAGCCATAAAGCCAAAGGTGGAACAAGGAAGACAACACCGCCATGCAACAGTAGGAAGCCCAAAAGAAACGTAAGAACCGCTAAGCCAATGTATGCTGAGGAACCAATGGAGCAAGAGTAACGCATTCTTATCTACTTATATGAGTACTTCCTGAAGGACTTCTTCCAACAATGCACAACCGTTGACTATCACATGGTTAAAGTAGAAATAGAAAAGCCCTCAAAAGACAAAGTTACATCAAGGAAGAGAAGACCCTCACACCCAAAGAAAGACTGCCAGCATACTTTAACATCAAGGAAGCACTACAATTGCCTAAAAGATGCGAAAAGCACTAGCAGCGGTCTTGGCGAGTCCTGACGACCACAAGGTGCAAAAAAGCAAGGACGTAGGCTTAAAGCTTTGGCCACATGAATATGCCACATGTTGTGCTACCTATGACACAATTAACTTCATTGGCGAAGACTTGCTACTGGGATCAAAGCCTTACAACCGTCCTCTCTTTGTCTTCGGGTATGTGAGAGAGAACAAAATCAACCGCATGCTTGTGGATGGTGGGTCGGCCATAAACATCATGCCAAAGTCAACAATGACCACAATCGGCATCAAGGTGGATGAACTATCCGGAAGCCGCCTCCTAATCCAAGGTTTTAGCACCATTTAAACACCAAAAACGTCCAACCCTACTGCTCCACACGCATGCTATCCAATCCAAGTCCAAAACTACTCCAAATTGCTTCATTTGGCCATTTATTGTCATCTTTACCAATTGGACCTACAAGAATACGAAAATAACATAAATTACTAAAATAAATAGAAATTAACGAAGTAAATGCAACGAAATAAGATAACAAAGTCGCATAAATATGCTTCTGTCACTTGATGTGCATCAAGTTGTCTTTTGTAGGGAGAACAAGCGCCTTAGGGCCAGTTAACGGCACGCAAAGCTTATCACTCTTAAAGCACTTGAAAAATACCATGGCTGCAACAAAATAAACAAAGCAACATAAGCACAAAAGTGGGGTAGCAAAGAAAGAAAAGAAAAGTCGTTTCACTAAAGCAAAATGGGTTCGCCTTCAGGTTCAAATTTATTCACATTATACACTATCACATTTTATGGCTTCGTCGCCTTCCAGGTGTCGGCCATCACAACTCAATTCTATGTCCAAGTGAACTTTCCAGGTCAGGGTGTGTCAATGAACCCTAGTTTGAAACCCTAAACTAATTAATAAATCTAATGTTTTTGTGCAAAAGTTTGTTAACAGTAATCTAATCACTAACATCTAGTACCCCGACCCTATATTAGAGGATAATTGAGGCCTCAAACTCAGCTCCCTAAATGTATGAACGCAATCAAAGGTTCTTGGTCTAGAAGAAAATTCGTAAACTTTTTGGAAAGGGAGATTATTACAGAATCAACTATTTCATCGCAAGCCATGAATATAGTACAAACAGTGGAGGAGAGGTAAGGTACCCGATTTGAATGTGTGAGAAATTACAGTTGCCTAATATTAGAAATTTGACCAAATGTTACCCACTTTAACTTTTTTGTTGTTAATTTTTCATTTGAAAAATTATAAGCCAGGTAACATAATAATTAATTATAATTAAGGATTAAGTATGGATGACTATCCAAATTTTTGGGGTGATTTCAAAAGAGTCCAATCTTTAAGTGATAACTTTACCAACATTAAGCAATGATGTTTCTAGACTACACCGATTTGGAAGTTCAAAGCTCCATGAATAACTTGAGATCATAAAACCCGCTATAATAATTATTCTCCATGTCTTAACCAAACACTAGTGAACCTAACAAATGTCCACTTTCCAAAATATTAGGTAGTTATTTGGAATGTTTTAAAAAGTACATAAAAATTTGGAATCACTTCATATAAAATAGTATAAGCTTGATATAAGTCCAATTTTGCGAATCATTGTTGGGTTTAGTCCAATCTGTTAGCCTCACTGGTTATCCACATCACCTAATTTTTATTAGGCTAAATTGAATATTTGGCCCGTGATGATATGGTAGTCAGAAAATAGCTCCCATAGTAAAAAAAAATAAAAATAAATAAAAATAGGATTAAAATCTTTGTGGAGAAGTCCATTAGAAATTACGCCCAAAACTAAAATTTATGTTAACTCTCAATTATTAATGCACGTGAGTCTTACGTGTGAGGTTAATTTGTCATTATATATCGCCCCTATGTCGTGGAAGGGGTTCTTTCCTGCTTCTTTCTTGCAAATTTTGATTAAATATGAGCAAAAACCAGCTTCATCATTGCCTTCTCTTCGTTCCCTTCCAAATCGAAATTCAAAACTCTAATGTATTACTAAATGCCCCTTAATTGTTTGCCCTAATCCTCTGTATATTCGTACTTTTCAATCTCTACAATCACCAGAAGGATAAAGCCCAAATTTCAATGAGGGTTCTGTTAAAACATGAACATGATGCATTTTCAACAACAATAAAATTTCATGAGTTTACAAAATTAACCTCATACATGAGGCTTCCTTGCATGATATTAACGTAACTTTCAATTTTGGATGTAATTCCTAACGGCTAATGGACTTCACCAAAAGTTTGTGGGTAATAGGTAGATTTTATTTTATTTATTTTCGTATTACCTCTCTCATAAGTATAATGTATTTTATCAACCTATGGTGTATGTATCTGTTAACCCTAAGATTGAAAACATCATCGATGACAATCTCATTCCAATTCCATATCTCATCCAAACTAGTATACTAGGCCAAGAACTTCGAGTCTCAAAAGTAATCTAGATTAATCACATGAGATGAAATGATTGAGATATCAATCATTTTGTGCTATGTTCTTCCACTTCTAAGGACGTGAATCCTACGAACAGAGTGATTTGTCGTGCGGGTCGAGTTTAGGTTGGATCATATTACCCATCCATTTTAATGAGTGTTTATACTACACGACCTGTTAAGATATCGAGTAGGGGTGGGCACGGGACAGGCCGGACCCAATTTTGAAGGAACCAAACTGGACCTGTTTTAAAATGTAACAGGGCATGGAAGGTCAGGTATAAGCTTCAAGAACTTAGGAACCGAACCTAACCCAACTCATTTGGTTCGAGACAAGTCCACAGATCCAATCACTTTTTTTTTTTTTTTTTTTTTTTTTGTTAAAACAAATTACTAGAAACCAAATTTGAAACTCAAAACATCATATTACAGGGTGGCTGGCAAATTCAAAATTCATAGTCATACACCAGAAATCTCAACCAATATCCCACATCTACATCATATAATAATAGGAATCAAGAACTATTAATTTTATCACAATCAGTGCCAGTTTTAGGGTTAAAAACTTGAGTTAAAAACCACAACGAAATTAATTTAAGCACAAGCAGTTTGAAAGTACAACCACAAAGAATTTTTTGAGTTAAAAACTTCAAATTTCACCATGTTTGCAAATTTACACAATACATAAAATAAAATAAAAAAATCTTCAAGCTAACTTGATCCTTTGGACGTTCAGCGTGTCTGCAAATTTACACAATACACAAATTCCCAATCCAAACATTAAGAAATGCTCAATTGAATGCCCAATTCAAACATTTAAGAAATACCCAATAAGGTCAGAGATTGCAGAAAAACCCTCAATTCCTAAATCTAGAAAATTAATCAGAGAGAATAGGAAATTGCAAATAACCGTAAATCGCTAAACCCAGAAAATTAACCATAGTTAACAATTAAGGATTCAGAAATTATGTTACCTGAAATTGGGAGGAGATGAGATGAGGGTGGCCGATTTTGATTTGCATGATGATGGTGTTGTTTTTGTCGACGGTGATGGGTGGTCACTTTTGGGCCAGAAGATGGTGATGGATGGCTGCTGTCGAGGACTCGACGCGAGCTCGAGTCACGACTGAATGAGAGGGGAAAATTGAATGACAAACCATGGGGAAAAAAAAAAATCCAACGCTGGAAAGTTTAGGAACTTGATTAATCATATATTAATCCAATCCATTATCCCATGATAAAAACGGGCCAGGCCGGGGACCTATTCCCTCTTATTTGTAGACCCGCCCCTCCCCATTCCGTTGTCTTTCAAAATTTTGTACCGCCCCGAACCGCATATGCATATCCCGACCCACAGGTTCAAGATCTGTTTACTCACCCCTAATATAAGGTATGTCACGAAAACACACGCACACAAAAATCATGACATGAATGCCGTGTCTACTTACGCATGTTGTGACATCCCACATCGCCCAAGGGAGTGATCATTAAATGTATATTCTCATCCCTACCTAAAGCGAGGCCTTTTAGGAGCTCACTAGCTTGTGGTTCCATAGGAACTCCGAAGTTAAGCGAGAAGGGGGCTAGAGCAATCCCATGATGGGTGACCCACTGGGAAGTTGCTCATGAGTTCTCAAAAACAAAACCGTGAGGGAATGGTAAGCCTAAAACGGACAATATCGTGCTACGGTGGTGGAGTTGGCCCAGGAAGTGATTCGCCCAGGGCCGGGATGTGACAATTGGTATCAGAGCCTAATCCCTGGCCGAAAATATGCCGACGAGGACGTCGGGCCCCTAAGGGGTGTGGATTGTGACATCCCACATCGCCCAGGGAAGTGATCCTTAAATGTATATTCTCATCCCTACCTAGTGCGAGGCCTTTTGGGAGCTCACTGGCTTCGGGTTCCGTAGGAACTCCGAAGTTAAGTGAGAAGGGGGCTAGATCAATCCTATGATGGGTGACCCACTGGGAAGTTGCTCATGACTTCCCAAAAACAAAACTGTGAGGGAATGGTAAGCCCAAAGCGGACAATATAATGCTACGGTGGTGGAGCGGGCCCGGAAAGTGATCCGCCCGGGGCCGGGATGTGACAATCCACCCCCCTTAAGGGCCCGATGTCCTCATCGACACATTTTCGCTTAACTTCGGAGTTCCTACGGAACCCGAAGCCAGTGAGCTCCAAAAAGGCCTCGCGCTAGGTAGGGATGTGAATATACATATAAGGATCATTTTCCTGGGCGATGTGGGATGTCACAATCCACCCCCCACAGGGGCCTGACGTCCTCGTTGGCACACCACGGCCAGGGTTAGGCTTTGATACCAATTGTCACATCCCAGCCCCGGGCGGATCACTTCGCGGGCCCGCTCCACCACCGTAGCACGATATTGTCCGCTTTGGGCTTACCATTCCCTCACGGTTTTGTTTTTGGGAACTCACGAGCAACTTCCGAGTGGGTCACCCATCATGGGATTGCTCTAGCCCCCTTCTCGCTTAACTTCGAAGTTCCTACGAAACCCAAAGCCAGTGAGCTCTCAAAAGGCCTCGCGCTAGGTAAGGATGAGAATATACATTTAAGAATCACTCCCCTGGGCGATGTGGGATGTCACACATGTGACAATTGACTTTTATATTTTATTGTTTATTTTTCTGTTTGATAATATATTATTTGTTATTTATTTTTAATTATACTTGCTAGTTATTATTATTTTTATTAAAATATTTTAAAAATTAATAAATTTACTAACCACCCATGCATAATCCCACTAGGTGGGTGCTTTTTATTGTCTTTCCAAATGATGTAATTTTACTATTTTGTACTCTATTAATTAAATTTTTTTTTTCTTTTGAAATTCTAATAGGAGAAGGGCAATTTTTGAGATTATAAAAGGTTCATCCTTGTGCGGCTCATCCTTTTTTATAACTAGTATATGCCCATATTCAAAGTGTGTGTGAGGAAGAGACTAAGAGAGAATGTGAGAGTGGGGAGAGAGGTTTATTTATTATTTATTATTTTTTTAATTAAATATATTAAAATCACATGTAAGTGAGGATTTAATAGAAAATAGCAAAATTTTGGTTGTGTGAAACTACATTACTATCCATATTATTTATTTATGATCGGATTTGACTAGATGATATTTTATAGGGTTTTATTTGACAATGAGAGTTCTATTAATTTGTAGAAAAAGGAAGAAAAATAAAAGAAATAAATATTGTTTGTTTTTTTGGACAAAGGGTAAATTCATTACCACAGCAACATAACTAGTTGTATACGATTACGGTCTTAAGAACGACTCAGTGAGAGAGAAAGACTGTGTGTTTGGTGGGGGTGGGGGGGGGGGGGAGGGATTATATGTATATGATTACGGTCTTAAAAATTCAATCAAGAAAGAAATATTGTTTGTGTGTTCACTTGTTAGTTGGACGCTATTAAAACTTGTCATCTTATGTTTCAGACACACACAATAATTTATGCGTACGTATGCTATCTCACTTGTCAATGAGTGCAAACTATTGATAAGATTATTCATAATACATAAAAAGTGGGATTGCACAAAAACAGAACTTCATGAAAGAAAACGGTCATAGTATTATTATTTAACATCACATTAGTCCATAATATATACAATCGGTTGTATATACAACGAAATTATTCTGATGTTTATACTAGAACAGAAAAACAGCTACAATTAATAATTATATATGTATACAACCGGTTATATTGATTGTATACAACTACAACGAAGAATTGCTCTGTTGTCTACACTGGAAATTCAGAAAAACGGCTACAATAAATAATTGTTCATGCATGATTCAAAGTTTCAATGCCAAATCCAAATTATCAGATTTGGCGTTACCACTAGCATCCAACCCAAAATTAATTGACGGAATAAGGCGCTCCAACTGACTGAGGAACGGCCTGGTACAGTCACTATAGTTCTCCTCTCTCACCACATGTGCCATTTGATTACCATATGGCATCATCATGTGATGTGATGCAGCAGCTGCTGAGATAACATTAGGGTTTCTTGGCAACGAATAATGAGGAACTTGTGGTTGTTGTGCACATGGAAGTTGATAATGAGGTTGTGGCGGCGGCAGCGGCGGGGTTGCAAAACCAATTTGGTTATTAGCACCATGAAAAAGGCTTCTTTGATGAAAAGGGTTGGTCAATGGAAATATAGGAGCGGGGCGGGTCGGAGCGTTGGACGAGATGAAGGCGTTGATGTTGTTTGGAAGATTATTAAGTTGCCTTAATCTCGCGGTGGTGCGGTCACCATCGCCCATGTGAGAATCGATGTGGGATATGAGAGCTTGGGTGCTCATAAACACACGGTCACATAGTCTGCATGCAATTTGTGTTAGATCAGTTGCCCTAGGTGGTGCAGGGTCTGACGAACCAAGCATGTTTCCTTGCCTCAAGTTCCAGTTGTAGCGAGACATGGTTGAGCTTCGAAAGAGAAGAAAATGGATTAGGGTTTCAGGGTTTCTTTCCTTTTGGGAGCCCTGGGATTCTAGGAAGGTTGGTGCACATACTTGGGGTATGAAGGAATTTATATGCAGTTTTTACCCATTCCAGAATGGTATGTAACTTGTCGTTGCATGCAAATTAATTACATTTTCCATGAAAGGTTTTGTTGTCTATACAGAAATTTAATGCATTCTACAAAAAAGCTTTGACTCAATGATGCTCTTGAATTTGTTACCAAAAGATCACCTGAGTATTTGGGTGACAATGGAAGGTTTATGAATGAGAAAAAATGAAAATTTAGAAAATATATAGTGTGTTCATTGAAAAATCTATGGGATAGCCAAAAGAGTTTTTCTGTTAGACATTTTCTCGAGATAAAAAGAGAGAACAATAATAGAAATTAGTAATTTCGAAATTGTTTCAAAAAATTTCAGAACACTAACAATACAGAAAAATTGATTAACTCAAATCCATTTTTCTGTCATTTCATTATGAAATTTAACATTTTTTTGGTAGTTTATACAAGAATTTCAATGGCCTTCCATATCCTCTGCCATTGAATATCCCAATAAAAAATTTTAAAGAAAGAAAATCAATTGGTACATGATATTTGTTTGTATTTTTTTTTTTTGTCAAACGAAAGATTATGGTATTTGTCTTATGCTCTGCTCCTCGCTAGTCTCTAGCTCCCAAACTGTTAGTGATGCTATCTGCTTATCTGGTCGTAGGATTTCATTCCATTTATGAAATCAAAGACTGATTTTTAGTAATATAGATAATTATTAGCACACGCCTAAAGCAATATGATAAATTCGAATTAATGATGCGAGTTGTGTTTATCTCGTGTGGGCGAGGAAGGCATGGCACTTAATGATTCAAAATGGATAATTCAGTAAACCATTAATTTCTTCAACTAAGAAATGTATATCTCTTTAATGGAAATGTAACCACTTTCATCATTCGAGCGGCTATGTAAGGAAAAGGTACAAGTCAACTAAACTCTGATAGTGGCAAAATGTACTGTTTTTTATTTTTTTTTAAAGGGATCAATTTGAGGCTTCGTCACAGCTGTCCATCTTTTCAGAGGCCATAAAGACTCACAGAGACATTTCAGTCTTCTCTTGACCACCATCGTGCAATTTGCCAACACCAGGAATCTAACCCAAGACATGTCATGTGGAATACGAGCTTGAAATTCATTTATAACCACTAGATCACACTGTGGTGGCAAAATGTACTGATTGACACTAGTAAACAGCATGTTAACTACTTTTTTGAGCTCACTCTACAATGTCATTCATAATTTGAATCGTTCATCAAATCATTTGAACAAATTAATCAGCCAAAACGAAAAATCGTTTTACCGTTTGAATGTTTTTTTTCTTTTTTTTTTTTGGGTCAAACCGTTTGAATGTTCTTAGATTGGAAATTTTCATTTTTTATAGGGAACATTTTTGTTCGTCTGGTTTATAATTGTTTAACGTCTAAATATTGTTTGCTTCAACTATATTTTTATAAAGATGATCTTCAAGTGATGATATTTTTGACGAAACGATAGCTTTTTTATTTTAATATAAAAAAAACAATACAAACTTCAAAGAGCACGCTGCGGATGAAATATGCTAGGTGGTTTCAAACCAAAGGGACTTCAACGTAACAAACAAGGCCAACTTGGCCAAACTAGTAGCCATCATAATGGTGGATTTATGAATGAGCATGGCAAACTTGAGAAGAAGCAAGGGAAC